CGCATGGTCTTTTTGCGATAGAATTTTTCACTCCCACCCTAGTTCAAAAGCGATTCTAGCTCCCTGCTTGAACGCTTTGTACATCTGACCATCAAATCTTACATTAAGGAAGCAGTTCGGGCGTATATTTCATAAGTGCGATTCTTAGATTAATGATAGGCACGGATCGGCCTTTGGTGGTGGAACTGGAAGAGTTCATGTAGAATCTCTATTTTTTGTACTGTTGTAACTGGTTATCTGTCCAGAGCTCAGACCCCAAAGAAGTACAACCTGAAAGAAGTACAGAAAGATACACCCAGTCTAATCTTGGAACGGTACGAATTAATTTTGGAAGACATTGGTGACCATCGTTTCACGACGGTCGTTGGTGCACATGGACATCGCCGACTGGTGCCACTTGCAGAAACCAATGCCATTGATTTTACGGGAAGCTGCAACCCAGGCCATCGCTATCCTTGCTCCCGAGATTGTGGGCGCGCAGGCTCAAACCTTTCGATGTAATTTGTTTAGTAGGCGATTCTGCAAAAGAATAAACATCCTCAGGCAAACATGGGATGACCTTGTCCGTTTTTAACTCATTTTGACCCACTCTACTCAACACTAATGCAACCCATTCTTTCTTTCCGAGCAAGGAGCCCACTTGACTAGAACACTAGGGGTACGTTTCTATTCCCAGTCAAGGGCTGAAGGGCCATTCCATCCCACCCCCGGGTGTCTTCCGACTGCCATTCTGGCGGCACGGGGTGGGATCCCCTGGTCGATCCGGAAGCCGTTAGAGGGATACGTCATATCATATTATTCCCCTCCCTGACGCGGGAGGCCTTCTGACCCGCACAGTTTGCCCCGGACCGACACTGGAGCCTTCATTGACACATCTTTTTCGTGGAGGGCGTTTGTGTCGCCTCGCGACGACCCGGCCGGCGGCTTGCGCGTACCCGGGAGCTAATCAGGCGTCGTGCCGGGCCCGTGAAGTTGATGTTGAAGGACGATGGATCCGCTGTAGCTACATCATTGGGTGATTGATGAATTTGTTGCATGAAGGAGTGTTGCGGTATCATGACATAGATAAAATACGGATCTCGTCACAATGTCAGGTGACAAATATGTGCGTCTGACTACAAAGAAGCATGACACTGTCGAATAGTCTAACAGTCATGGCCAACTGTGACTTAGTTAATATATGACTTTATGTCATCGGATGTATTATTCCTGGGATTGTTGTGTAAGTAGCTGGCTGGTCTTGAATGCTCGTGAGTATTCATTCAATTCATTAGAACCTGGCTAACCAGTCACTGACCTGCTCGGGTGCCTGCTCGTGCGCCCGATGTACCTGAGCGTGGCGAGTACTCGTGCTGTTCGTCTTTCTGTGAATGCCGTTGAACTGGCCAAGGCAGCGGAGGGCGACACATCACGCTCCACACGATGCAGATTCGGCAGTGACCCGCAAGTCCATGCCGCACGTGCGACTGCCGACACGTGGACACGGGCATCACCGCGGCACCAGGCGTGCCGGTGGCCACCCCAGGTAGCATCAGATATCACGCCCCGGGACGCCCACCACGGAATCCGGCACAACGGCCGGTGAACCCGACGGCACTTGTCCTACGAATGCTTGACGTGAGCGCGGCGGAACCATCCGGGCCAGTGGCGGCGCCGCGGCGGTCATCAGGGGTCGGCCCACGCTCCACAGGCCCCCCGAGCGGATGTCGCCCATACACATCGGATACCACCGCACCCAACTCCCGTGGAGTTCTCGCACGCCAGGAGGACAGGGAGATGGCGGCCCCACCATCGCTCGGCGCGAGCGTGGCGGACCGTCCTCGCAAGCAGCGGGCCTGGAGGTCGGCGGCGGGGATTTCTCCGGGCGAGTAACTCATTGGGCAATGAAATACGAGAAATTGATGTTTCAGGATCGTTGACAAAAGGTCTTATCTCGTTATGCCCTCTAAAATCGGTTCTAGCCTTAATGGTTGCCTCTCTCATCCTACAGAGACCTCGCCCCGTGCGTTCCAAGGCCTCTGTCAGTCCACGTTTCTTGGCTGTACCAATATGGCGACCGGCTTTACGCACCGGCAAGCGAACCACTCCTTTCAACCTATCTAATTCCGTATATTTATGGCCCGATCGCTCTAGTTTTCTCAGAATCGTGCTCTGAGCTAGATTGACGCAAAACATTCACACGCACACACACACACACGCACACGCACACGCACACACACACACACACGCACGCACGCACGCACGCGCACACACACGCACACACACACACACACACACACACACACACACACCACACACACACACACACACACACACACGCACACACACACAATCAAACCCCGCCGACAAAATGTTGAAATCCCAGGGGGGTCGCGCGACATAGATTCGGTGAACTGACGTGGAACTAGCATAGCGTAAAGCGAACTAGCAGGCTGTGCTGAAAAGCTAGTTGGGCTCCGAAGGCCCAAGGCTGCTGAAATTGCATCCACCCGATGTGTTGGAAACATCGCAAATCGCGATGCAAGCAAGTAGTTCTTCGACCGCACAGCAAGACGTAACAACTGTACCCGCGTATTTGTGGCATGTGAGCATTGGTTCATTGCTCTGTGACATTGCTGTTATTGCATTGTTCTTATGTATCACCTGATGACCGCACTGCGGCGCAATATTATCACTGACGGGATGTGCCGATGGGTACAGTATGTCAGGGAGTGTGTGACAGGGGCACACCAACCTTCCCTGCGACTACCGTACCAGCATTTCACCACTCACAGACGCTGGCTTCGGCAGCCCAACGACACGAGCTTTCCTCAGTCTTTTCCACCCACTGGCGTGTCCGCCCGGCACACCATCGCATCGGCGTTCCGCGAAATATGCGCTCGTGCGTCAGCGCGAAGATTACCGCCAAGTGATCTGCAATACACATCACTGCTCTCCATCGCCACAGTCCGCAAATTTGAGCTATCAAGCACTCAGGCCAACAGGCACGAAGAGTCCCGACCAAATTTCGGTTGGTGAGGAAGTCCGTACACCGGTATGGTTGTGACCATCGGACATGAGAACACCGCGAATATCTGTCCTCGGCGTACAGGACACCCTTCGTCGGAGCGGACCAGACCGTGATGTCGGAAATATTAAGTTCAAGGAATGCGGTGATGTAGCTTGTTTTATGCAAGGGATCACCGGGGATCTTTTCGCAGTTTCAACTTGTATGCTACAGGATCGGCCGAGGGCACTAATTCGGCCGTCAATGCGAGTTACGACGCACCGTCGACGGGCATATCTATCGGGCCGCCGACCAATGGCACTGATATTGACAACTCATCTGGTACAGAATATAGCTGCTAGCTCTCAATGCACATTTTACTGCTCTGAAAGTGATCGAAGTACTGACTTAACGGACTACTGACTGCTCCCCCCCCCCCCCCCCGATAACATGTGATGGATAATTGCACGCGCTCGACACGGAAGGCAGAAATCGGCGCAGTCCTGCCACGGCGCTTAGTAGACTACCGCAGATGAGTGGCTAATGAAGGCACGCTCGCCCCGTCAGTCCCACAGTCCGGTTATCAGGCGAATTACTTCGCTTCCTCAGCTTCGGATGGACTAAAGTAAAGTTCAGGACTACGTGAAACAAACCGGACTTTGCATGACACGTTTAGTTATTTTTCTTCACGCTCATACCCCGCTACGCTGGCTCTGATGCGAACCGCACGCTGCGCCAGACCGCATGGCGAGAGCCCACGAAGAGCAGCGGGACGTGTTGCCCCCTAGCGGCGCGACGGCAGCGCCATCTATACTACAGAAGGCACATTTCCGCCCCAGGCAAGGCGTACAGACAGTTCCACACTGACGGCGCTCATTAGTGATCGTGTCGGCGCGCGTAGTCCGGCCACGCGTTAAAGCGCGTTGGTCTGTGCGGCTTGGTGTTGGCCTGCCTCGCACCGTCATCACAGAAATGTACACGCCCGGAGGTCATGAACGATTGTGCGCTGCCGCGTCACGAAAGCGTTCCGTTAATTCAGTGCCGTTGTCCAGGGTATTTGAAAAGTGCACGTCTTGAAGGGCACACCGTGCAAGTCACGCGCAAATAGCTCGTGGAAAACCAGGTCAATTTCCAAATGATCATGACATTAGGACAACACAGCTCCTGGACTTCTTAAATAAGTAACGCACTGCGCAAAACCTGGATTACATGTACGACATTACCATTGCGCTTGAAGTATGCACCGCTAAATTTGAACTTCTAAGTACACAACAGTTGCCAGCAGCCTCTCCATGTCAGTCATGCTCACGCGAGTGAAAATGTACTCAGCTTGAAGGTTTGTTTCATCTTGAGTCACTTCTCCACAATCAATCAATCGGTAAGCTAAAGCGGAACCCAAGTAGCGCGGTCAGGTGTCGGTGCGTATGGGCAGCGCACGGCAACCTCAGCTGAAGGCAATTTTTTTTTGGTGTTGGCAAATACGGTAGCACCATGCATACGCGTTGACACCAATTGCAAAACCTGCAATGAACCTGCTGCCCTTCATGGCGCATACGTTCTAGCTGGGCTTCTTGGCCACGTAGACGTTCTTTTGCTTGTGTTGGTGCCAGGGTTACCTACCACTTCTCAAGCCATAAGTGCAAAGCACAGTACGTTCTGGACACAGAGCTGCGGCGGGAACGCTCCATTGTCAGTACTACCATTATGAAGTTGTAGATATTCTTTGTGAAATCGCAGCAACAGCGCGTGAGGACGTCCCAGTCAACTTTGAACGGCACTAGCACTGAATTATTTCAGGAGGGCTGGCTGAAACATGCAACCTGTGATGGAAACCGGGCGTGACTTTCTGAGACCTGTGCGGACAACCGTTCGCGCATGACGCACCGCTCCAAACACCAAGCCGCACGACTCCCCACCCGGCATCGAACATCTGCTGTCCCCGATGAGCCCGCACCACGGCGGTGACTCGCGTCTCTCTCCCCGCCCCTCCCCAGCCGGCCTTCAAACAGTCGGATGTCGTCGCCGTGTGTATTGCCCTCAGTGATCGCCGTGAGCAGCAGCCGCCTTCCTCTGCTGCACCAGCACCTGGCCCAGCTCCTCACGCTTCCTCTTGCCGCGGATGTGGCCGCCCAGCTTCTTCTTGAGGAACTTGAGTGCCCGCTTGTCGCGCGAGATCCTCAGCAGCTCCATGGCGCGCTTCTCGTACGGCGAGAAGCCGACCACCTCGCGCACGAGATCCCGGATGAACTTGTTGTGCTTGGTGATTTTCTGTACGGGACAGAGGACACGAGTAAGCGGAACAGCACATAAATCGTTGATGCTGAATAATAACCGGTATTTGGGGTGGGAGGGGGGGGGGGGGGGCTGAAGAAACGGGAACCATAACGACACATTTTATAACGAATGTCTTCGAAACCATCATTTCAATCCATGCGTCAGGAAGGCAGAAGTGGCTTTAAACCGCCGCTGTCACCCGTGCGAAAATTCGACGATGAAAAGAGCAACAACACATACCGCACATCAATTGGCAAATGCCCTAAACCCCTCCAAAAACAATGCCAAAAGCACAACATGTGGAGGATTTGAATATTCCATACCTAATGTTTGCCTCATAGGGTACAACTCAAGTTGAATCAAACAAGTGAATTCATGAAAATATCCTAGCTTTAAACCTGGTGACACCATAAGATTCATCCAACAACCATTTCACCTTTGGCCAATCATCGCAAATTTACAACAGATAGCAAGCATAATAAGTTGGCCTGACCATAAAGGCACCAGTGGTTATCAGGAACAATTGTCATCCGGCTAGCCTTTGCCGTTCTTTCGGATCCGAGCAGCTAAGATTCAGTATGATACCATGTAGAGTGTTCAGCAGATCATAAGTTTTGCTCAGGCTGAATTCATCTGGGACAGCTATGGTGTTGAAATTGCAAATGCCTTCAGGCAAAAATTACAAACATGTGGCATGTAACAAAGCATGCATGAATCACCTCCCACTAATAACCATCAGTACAAAAATACATTGACATACCACAAAAATTACATTACAAGGATACACAGATTCAGCACTTCAATTTTCAACCATTTTCCATACCAGTTTGATCACTGACAAGATATCACAACATAGAAAATGATCAGACAACACTGCTGTGATTCAGAAAAAGAGTTGATGTGGCATGGTATTTATGACATCCATCACATGTCAACATATTCTGAAGCTCTTAATTCATTCCATATCAATCATTCTCCAGTTGCTTTGAGTATTGAGCCAAACCCTCTTTCCAGAGCAATGTGAAGCTTAACATACAGAAATGGTAGGAGATGCATGCTCAGAAATTATGCTGTGCATGGAGGGAAGGGGGTTCATGGGACAGAGCAGAAGAGTAAGAAGGGACAGAGGGTGACATTTAGATCACTGAGACACACAAATTTGTGGATGGCCATCACTACTCCTTGACCACATGACACTTTTCATCTCCCAAACACTTTACAAAGCAATAATTTCAGTCTGTCAGCATGGGCATGGACCTAATAGGGTGAGATTATAAGGTTATGGTTCTTTCAACAATGCAAAACTTTAGCATATTGCACTGTAGTGAGCCATGTGCATTGGTTGCAATATTTCAGCAGCTGAGTTCACTTCTTCAGGAAGAATACTTTCCAGGATTGCACATGCCATCTGTTACATACAAATACAACCTATTAGCTTCTTCAACTAGACCATTCTGATTTTTAAGCTGCAAGCTAATTGAGGGCACAAGTCATAGCACCATCAAGACACAAAGCACAACAATTATGGAGTCCTGACCATGTCAGATCACAAGCAAAATTCAAATCCAAGCAAAATTCAAATCCTGTCAGTGCCCTCTACTAACATCAACCAAGCATGGTTTGGAGAAAAGCCTAGCAAGAGAACTACATACACCCTTTGACGAGGCAGGCCTGGGCTTGAGTGTCTTCTTGGTGACTGGGAATCCCTTCTTGAGACCAATGGCAATGCTGTAAGGCGCCACCTGAGCCTTGGGCTTCTTACGACTCCCGCCCTTGTCCGACTTCCCTGGTTTCTTGGCCATTGTGTTCCTGGAAATGGCATGTTATAAGTCCGAAGCAGACAGGAAAGCCAGCACAGCCAAGTTCAACAGGTGAACAGGGCACCTAATTCACCCCAGTATTCATGTTTCCGTCACACAATATTTTCATGGAGAATGAAACAACAGGTCATTATGCATCAAGTCACCTGCAGGAATATCTGCAGAGGGGGCGATGAAACTGCTGAATGCTAGCCGGACTTGACACCCTCCATAGCTACTACTCCCACCATAGCAGTGTTGTCCCTTCCTACAACCTTCTGTTGATGTGCTGTGACTGTAAAATATCTTTAATAATGGATGAAGACATATTTGGAAGCATAATTGTGTACCACCAACATATGACAAGATACTACAGTTGTTAAAGCAAAGGGCAGGTGTAGAGAATGAACAAGAAAAGGAGAGTTCATCAGCTGAGAGAGGCAGGGAGAATTTAGCCATAGTTGTGTACAGGAAAACATGAGTCAAAAGCAGTTCTTAGAAAAAAAGCTTAACAGCATACAGTGTGACAAAGGTTTGTGCTGTCCAAAAATTGTTATAAAAGTCCCTAAAATTAATGGTATTGCAAATAGCTACAGTCACAGGGATATCCACAACTAGAAGCACAGCTACATAGCCCTATACCATCAGGTAGTATTACATACAACCACTCAGCTGAATGAACATTATGAATGCTAAGAACTCAGATGACACTACCACACAAAATTTGGCATTGTAACACAACTTCATATATAATGCTTTTTCATGTGGTTGAGAGCCACAGCATATGTACTGATACCTTCTAATGTACAATGATTTATCAAACCATTTCTATGCCCAGCTGTAAAGGCTGCTCTGACCACTCCACATCAAAATGGAATTTCACAGCCTACTGTCACTTAAAAACAACAGCCACTTGAGTGCAAGTTCTGATTTGTTCCTGTCTTTTTACAAGCAAACATCACACTATGCTCATGTTTAATGATTCTTCTACCAGTGAAAGGAAGGCAGTGTCACCTATGACAACCACCAGAAAAAATATTGATGAGAGTGACAGGCTGTACCACAGAAAAACACAGGAAAATGAGCCCACAGCATATCACACACATACAGTCAGCATTTCATTTCTAAAATAACAGTGTCTAACCACAAATGTCATGCACTAGCAGGACTGTGACATTTATTTACAATCCTGTCTGCAAAATATTCCTAATCAATTGACCAAATATTGCACACATGCAACTTGCACCCACCTGAACACAAAACAGTTATCAAGTACGGTACCATTATTTTATAACCTCAACAGCACATCACAGCAAGAGTGCTTAAAGTGGTACACAAGCCCTCCCATGACAAGAACACTTTGCTTAGGGGACATTGCAACCATCTACCAATATTATATCTTTTTTAACCCAATATGCACTTAGGTTATTAAAAAATGTACAAAATACAAACTCAGAAATCAAACAGCAAAAACACGCTGCACATGTCAGGCATAGCGGAGATATTATTAACAAATTTTGGTACATGCGTGTGCTATGTCAGCATACCCAGACCCCAGGGAGGCTACTACCAATCTCAGCATAGAGAACACATTCTAGAACTATCATGTTGCAAAGGTGATTCCAGGTGAAAATACTCCTTAGAGCATTCCTGTCCTGGTATTGCATACAAGACTCAATGTGCTGATGAAACACAGGCACCCAGATCATAAGATGGATTTATTGTTGACTAGCCCCAGACTGCCTACCACTTCATGGGCATCATTGCAAGAGCAAGACCAGGCAAGTGACATAGTAGCCTTTAATGCCTTGGCATTAACAGTGTGTGGTTAACACAGGTAGATCATGCCATCCATAAGTTGCAATCTTTCACCATCGATGACCAAAAATTGTCCACACAGAGCATAAGTTTCTACATCACTGAATAAAAAGCACAATGAAGTGCATTCACCCTTGACATAATACAAATATGTGACACTAAAATAGAATGAAACTAGCTCATTGTAAAGGGCCTCAATAATTGCCCACTACTTGTTATAACAAACCCTTGATCATTCAAAGGATAACCAAATTACCAAATAAAATCAAAGCTAAGGGAATCAGTAGAATTCAAAGTCCAGACAACGTCGTAGACGCGTCAACATTTTCAACAAATCGTTAGTCTGATTTCTTCGGGGAGTTTGAGACACGAAGGCTTTCCCGCAATGTCTAACCCGCGCCATATTAGGCTCACTCGTGGTAAACAGCGCATTTATTCATAACACCAGCCGTAACAGAATCCCAATAATGCTGCATCCGTCAGGGTAACAAGGAAAAATACTTAACCAAGTTGAAGCCTGTAAGAAACGCCGACTGAAACTTGAATTCCTACCTGATATATAGCTTCGCTGCAAACACAGGAAGCCACACACTGTAAAGGGCGTTGCCGTGTGCAGAAATATTAAAAACCGTATTTGAGATAAAATGGACTTACAACGACTTTTGCCGATGAAATAAATTAAATAGGTACATTGATAAGAAAAATTGAGCTAAAACCACCCAAAGTATGATAACTTGACGCCCATGTAAGTATGCAATCCAGATGAGACACATCAATAAAGCTAATTTGGTAGTAGGTTCTTTCCACAGCCTGACGCAGTGGTTTCAGTTACAGCGCAGCAGTACTATTATGTGCTGGAGCAGGCGAAACGCGAGCAGCCATCAAATACAAGCTGATGTAAAAAAGGCTGGCGTGGTTTAAACTGCAAGCCACAGTTAAATGCACCGTTGAATGGGCAGCAATTTTCGGCTACATGCGATTCTTTGAGCCCACGGTAAAATCGCTGGCTGAGTATGTGCAAAGTTCACTGTTCAGGCACATCTTCCCAATATGAAACTCAAGCGCTTGCGCGCTAGCTTCACTGCGCTGATGTAAAATTGGAAAATTTTCATTATGTATCATTTGCAGTTGGAATCACGGTTCTAGGTGCCCAGGTTGCCAGATTATCACGTAAAGTTTGAAAAAGACGGCCGCCGGCCGCGCGCGGTACTGACAGCCTCTGGCGGCCGCCGGCAGATGACGCATTTCGCCACGCTATCTGCAACACAGCCGAATCTGTTCCATGGGGTGAGAGAATGGTCGTGGGGTGTGGCCGGTGATTTTCGTCCCTTCTATCAACTGTCAGCCTTTTGAATGATAGCAGCACACACTGCCGTTGTATTAAACAGCATTGCATTGTATCGAGGAGTAAAAGACGGCCGGTCATGGCCAAATCTATCTTGCCGGCCACATGCGTAGGAACGCTTCAAAAAGTGGGGGAAGGCCAAGCTCAGGGTGTGCTTCAGGAACTTTTTTCTGTAAAAGCAAGCCCGATGACCGGGGGGAGGGGAGGGGGGCGGTATTTGAAATGGAGGTCGTTGTCGTTCTTTATTCAAATGCCATGGCTGTTTTGCTCGACATGCACCTAGAGCTGCACCCCACTGGTGCACAATCTTTCCTGTTCGACTCGTCAATGTCATTCGGTAAATAAGGCTGTCCAGCTTCGTAGATTTATTCGTACATTTCAACATTGTCTTTCCTAGGGAGGCGAAATTCCAATCGCGGGTAGGCATTCCGGGTTACTGAGGAGGCATCTGCCTCCACAGGATAAATGTGGAAATACGGCCTGGACATAGGCTGGCGGGAATTTTGAAAACGAATGGATGGCTCACAGTGCGATAAATTTGGTATGTGCCTTCATTTTGCTGGCTGATTTTCAAGAGATATGACATGTCGCAGCATTTTAGACGGAAACAAATTTGAAGCCTTGCAACTGTCAGAGCAGTGTGACAAAAGCCATACAACTGGACATTATCCTTTAAGAATCAAGCCACAGAATGAAGACCCTTCTGTCATATATTCCTTACGTAGGCCCTGCTACCGTCCGCCGTCTGCGGCCTCTGCCCTGGACCGGCTGTCTCCGGCATGACTGACCGCGAGCTGACCGTATGAGCGCCTTGTTGCATATTTCTGGATCAACATCACTACTAATTGGTCTGTAAAACATATGTACAGCATCTGCAACAGTATCTTTTTCCGAGTTATCTTCCCTTGCATCACGCCATCGCAGAAAAAAACCTCCGGGAAGCTGCCTGCCTTAGGTATGCATTCCCCCAACGGACATTTTATTGCCCATCATTCAACGTGGGCGACTTGGTCTGCTTTTGTGTGTAGGCTGTGGCGTAGCCAGAGCCTTGCCAAGGAGGAACACGGTGTTGAAAAACGCCGTTCTTATTGTGATCTCACCCCTCTAAAATAATCCCCAGATACAGCTACGTGTTAACAAGGGACACGGTTTTCTTCGTTTGTTTGCTATTTTTACTTTACAACCAGAACAGAAAACAGGAGCTACCGTGAGATCAACTCTGTTTGTATTTTGAAGTTAATAAACGGCAAAAATCAGGCGTTGAACGACCGCATGAAATAAATCACCGGCGCCTTTAATTTACAATTGCTTTGTGGACTCTTTCTGAGACGATAGAGTTAAGAAGCTGTGCCTGAATTTTTATCTGGGATTTATAGACATTAAGGACATGACGAAGGCACGCTGTAGATCGATATGTCTGATCCAAACTTGGATATACAAATTTGATCGTAGATCGAGAAGTCAACGGTGTGTATTGATATGATCAAGCCTTGTTTGGTTGGAGGTGCTCAACGTCCAGTCAGAATCGGTAAGTGATACAATTCACGTAACGTGGTTTTTTAACATGCGCGCTCGCAAATCTTAACAAAAACCTCCACTCCAGGCGTCGCAGTCTGCATAGTTCGCGAAACGTTAGTCTGGTGGCTAACGTTTAGCTGTGGCTTATCGGTGGACGAAAATGATGACACTTTTGAAATAATAACCTTTAGGCACTTGCATGGATTAGTGATACCAGTTATGTGACATAATTTTGAGCACGTGCACGCGCAAATCTTAGCAACGGAAACCTCGACGCCAAGCGTTGTAGTCTGCCGAGGCCGCTCAGCGTCGGCCCAACAGCAAATACTAAGCCGTGGCCAACGGGTGTTCGAAAATGATGACGTTCTTGAAAGGAGTACTTTGGAACGCGTCAGGACATCAAATCTTGCATTTAGAAGACATTCTGGGCGCATATTTCACGTGCGTGATTTTTAGACTGATGATAGGAATGGATTGGCACTTAAAGCACCATAAAGCGATGCTGGAGTCTGGCGGGGAATTGGAAGAGGAGAGGTAAAATCTCTTTTTTTCGTGTATGTGTAACTATTAATCTGTCCAGAAGACTTATTACCACGGCGCCCGCCGCCTGGTGACACTTGCAGCGGCCGATGCCGTTCGGTTTTACGGAAGCTGCATCCCAGGCCATCACTGTCCTTGCACTCTAGGCTGCAGGCGGGCATGTTCAGACATGTCGATGTAATTTGTTTTACTAATCCATTCCGAAAAATGAGCGTTCTCAGGCAAGCATGGGATGGCCTTGTTCGTTTTTTTTTAACTCATCTCAATGCACTCTATTCAACAGTAATGAGGCTACCACTCTACTCAACAAAATTGAGACCCCTTATTTCCTTCCAGGCAAGGGCCCTTGAGTAGAGCACCCGGAGCACATTAACGTTTCAGGTTAAGGGCTGAAGGGCCATTCCGTCCTATCGCAAAGTGCCTTCTGGCTGTCATTGTGGTGACACGGGGCGAGATCTCATGATCGATCCGGAGGTCATTGGAAGGATATCTCATAACAAATTGTTCCCCTCCCTGACACGGTAGGCCTTCTGACCCGCACAGTTGGCCCTGGATCAGCACAAAAGCCCTCACTGAAACAACAACATCCCTGATCGCTGCAGGGGTCCAATAATTGTCACATACACACCGGTTTCATGTTGTTTTTTTGTGTTCTCCAGATATATTGAGGACTCCCTGGACGTAGATTGTAGATGAAATGAGGGTCCCAAATTTGTATTAGCATAGCTAATCCATGTTCGTCTGAAAATGTTTAAGATTCAGTCAGAATTGATCGCTGATAAAAACTATGTAGCATGGCTTGAACATGCGCGCTCGCAAGTCATGGCATCAATGCCTCGATACCCGACGTTGCAGTCTCCATAGGCCGCGCGGCGTCGGCCCTGCAGCTGCAACACTAAGTGGTGGCCAATGAGCAACCGAAAAAATGAAGCGTCTTGGGGAAGATGGCTGGTGAACTAAGTAAATCGGCATGTAAGTTAAATGTAGTGCAAAAGTAAGTGAAACACAACCTTAGTCTGAAAAGTGGGGGTCCGGTTAACACTGCTGGCCTCCCAGCTTGAAAAAAGCCCGGCATAGCCCCCCCCCCCCCTGGTCCCCCTGTTCCTACGCCCATGCTGCTGGCTCGTGCACGCGTTACACGCAGCACGTGCGACATTGCAATTCATGTAACGTCTTTGCTCGATTTAAAGATAGTTGCTTCAATGGTGAATGTTGGGGAACAACATTCAGGCTTCTACCTGCTTTGTGCGCCGAGATATAACGGTGAACGTAAAAACGCGTCAAAAACGGCCCATTTCAACTTGTCAACACGTGTACACGTGCCACGTGTGACGTGGCGCCAAAAACGCACCCGATTGCGATGGCCCATTCCGTGCTCTATCGCACCTATCTTGGACCCCTTTTCACACAGGATTAAGGACCTGACTCGAAGGCCCGAAAGGTCGGCCGCAGATCGTATTCAGGGGCTCGGGCCACAGGGCCGGGCACTCCAGTGCCAGTCAGAGCGCCCTGTGCGCTGATCAAGGGCCACCTGAGTCTATAAGGGCCTATATATCGGTTAGCCACCACCAATAACGCACAGTTAGGCTCCGTGTCGGCATGGACCGAGGGGCCCAGTCCCAAGCAGGTACAAAGCAGGTGCCAACGATTAATATTGGCTGGGGCCCTAGCGTCTGTCGGGGCCCCACAGCGCCTAACAGGTGGCCCTGTATTGGCAAGGAGCCCGGATTCGGCTAGAGGCAGTGTTTGAGGAGGCCCGAAGAGCCTGGAGCGCCCACCGGAGCCGACGACCAAGTGCCCAATTGGAGGCCTTTGGGCACGAAGGGATGGTTTAAGTGTTATTCAGGGGACTCGGCATGTGGGGACGGGCCCTCACATGATAGAGCACTTTTTGCCTATCGCGGACCCCCTGAGTCGATATGGGCCTAAGAAGCGGTCAGGCATTACCAGTACCACGCAGTCTGCTCCGTGTCGGCATGGGCCTGAGGGCCCACTTCCCATTCAGCTACAAGGCCGGGGCCAGAGATTTACGCTGGTCGGGGCCCCTGTATCTGTCAGGGACCCACAGCGCACAACAGGGGGCACCGGGTTTGCAAGGGTCTGTAAGGATGCCAGTCAAGGCCACCAGTACCGAACGATGGGCCCTCCAACCCAATTCCAGCATGGGCCCGTTAAGCCGAGCTGGAGTTTATGTTCCAATAATTAGGCATGTGGCTCTCAGGGATGT